TCGCAAGAAGGACGCGAACAACCGCGAAAACGTTCCGGCGCTGCCGTCGTACGTGCGTCGATCCGTCGCGTACCGTTCTCCGCTGACCCCGTGTTATTTTATTATTATTATTTATTATTACTATTATTATCTATTATTCATCCTCAATGCATTATTAATTATTGTGATGATGATGCATGATGATGATATCATTTTATTACCATTATTGTTATTTATTCTATGAGTAAAGGACGTATAGTAAGCAATGTAGCTTGGTGCGCGGGGAGTCCTTACTCGTCCTGCTAGCAAACGAAAAGTCGCACAATAAACTAGATATAACATCTTTCATCGACCAGCCGCCATCTTGTAAACGAACTGACCGAGCGCATTGACCGAATCTTGCACACCTAACTTCGCGACGACCTTGACGACGAACCTCAGCCCGTTAACGTACCTCCTCTGCCGCGTCACTCCCCGTCAAACTGTCTCCCCGCGCGCACAGCTTTGCCTATTAAATAGCAGCGTGATTTCCGAGAATGACCGTGGTATCCGCGTGCAAACACGTGTATTTAATCGCCCGTGTCACACTCATCTTACGATTCGGGCGAGCGTGATCACCGAGAGGCCCTGCCCCTCGGCCCTTCCTCCCGACATCCTCCTCCTCCCCGCACCTGTCGGCCTTTCCGTTAATCCTGTTTATCCTGTGGTCGCGCTATCACGGAACCATCGCGCCGGTCCGTAATGTACTCGTGTTTATTAAACGATTTATTAGGGGCTTTGCTCTTCCTCCTCGTCGTCTGCTCTTCACTCGCTGCGTGACCCCGATGTTCAGCTGCGCCGCTTTGGCGTTAACTCCCCTCGCAACCGTGACTCTATCTGCTCTTCTCCTCTCTCGTCTCTCCATCTCTTCTCTCTCTCTGTCTCTGTGTCATGTCTCGTCTGTAACATTGTCCCTGTGGGGCTGCTCTGTCGTGCTCTGTGCCTGTCTGGTCTGTCTGTGCTGTCTGTCTGGGCGCGAGTGGCCACCCTCTGTTTCTTCCTGTCTGTCGCTGGTCTGTCTGCTTTTTCTGTCTGTCTGTCCTGTTGTATCTCTGTCCTGTCTGTTCTGTCTATCTGTCTGTCTTCTGTCTGGCCGCTTGTCTGTCTGCGTGGTGTTTCTATTATTCTTCGTCTCTTAGTCTTAAGTTACTTATTATATCTTTTAATGCTCTCCGCCAC